GGGCATTAATTTAAAGGACTGCTGTGTGAGGAGCTGCATTCACGCAAGCCCAAAAGAAAAGTAGGTTGAGACTTTTCATATAGGAGCAAAATCAGTTCTGCAATGCAGTAACTCACATGTTTATCTAACTACTCAGTGTTTACCGCTCGTCCGCTTTATAAACATCAATTAAAATAGCTCAGTTAGGAGATTGGTTGCAAACTGTGTAATTTAAATGTAGAAAAACAGGGGGAAACATCCAGTTAAGGTAAACATGTGCCACCACAATGCAAACAGAAAGACTAGGGTACGCTGTAATCATGACAAACAGGACATTTTTCAATGCAGCACGAAAAACAAACATTTTAAACTGATGTTGTTTGGTAGTTTCTCCCAATCCTAAACATCTCTGTCTCCTGAAACCTCAAAAATGTCCCGGTGGTAGGAAAGTCTGGGGTGTCTCAGTTTGTGAGGAGTTTCCTTTCAGGGGATGCACCTTTCTGAGCTGAGAGATTTATTGTTACTGGGTTCAGAGGTGTGGAGGAGTAAGCCTGAGTTAGGACATGAAGGTGAAGCACGTGTGAGAGGTTAAGCACAACGCCGAAGACTAAACTCATCAATCTGAGTTCCATAAGCCGAGTTCAAAAGAGACGCTGATCAGAAACATCTTTAACAGGAGATGGTTGCCATTTCTGAATCTCACTTACAAACCTTTTTGTCACACAACACCTCACTGCTTCTTCTGACTTCCACAGCAATGTGATAGTTTTCCCCTACTTTTAATTCCCCCCAAGCATAGTGGTCCTTGTGGATTGAGTTTCAGAGCATTGGTTGATTCACACAGAGAGAGGATAAGAAGCGGGGAAGGTCCTACTCCTTTCATTTCCTCACAGAAGGCAACGAGCACATTTTAGCGGAGAGGGAAACAAAGGGGCGCCACGGGGGAGATGGACGGCTGCTGAGTGTGTATTGAAAGCCGAGACAGAGCAGGAACCTGCAAACACCTTTGGAGAGGCCACTCGCCCGTCCTGAAGGTGTTCACATTTGCATTCTTCAAACCACTAACACCTCCATCTGCTCTTTGAAGTCTGGTGAACGAGACGTGGATGCCAGATGTATATTTATATGTATGTTATGGCTGTTTTGGACTCGGAAAATGTATCTGAAAACTATTTGGGCCTAAATTAAGATAAAACCAAATGATATTCCTTCTGGAGTTGACAGCCTGGAAGTATAACACTCTACTACAACACATAATAATAATAAGGGGACAGCAGGGGCTTGTAATCTGAAGGTTTAAATTGATTTACTGGATTAAGTGTATGATGAAAAGTACAATACTAATCCCACACCAAACTGTACTACAGCATGGACGTATAATTACATTCCTACAACCTTTATTTGACCAGGTGGATCAGCGAAGAACAAACTTATTTACAGCGATGGCCTGGCAGAAGCTCCAGCAGAGTCAACACAACTGTTGCAGAGCAGCGGGGGGGCGACTCTCCCTGCGATCAAACTTAATACAAAACAGAGTGGAGGCGCTCAGCCGCAAACTGTGCCTCCCATCTTCCACCGCAATCACACTGCGTACACAGGTGAACAATAATCTTAGCTGGCTGCTCGCTGGATTTGCTCAGAAATATTGGGCCATTTCAATCAAATAGTCTGCGAGCCATCCTGGAGAGGATATCTGGAACCTGAAGATGACAATCTCACGTCTGACTTTCCATTTCCTGCTGTTGATTTATAAAAAAAAAAAAATGCCGATCCAAAAAGAAAAGTGATGGAAAGTTTTTCTGTACTTTCCAGAAATGTATGTACCGTAGTTTAAAAGAGGCAGCCCACACCAATCTGCACATTTGAACTTTTATTGGGTCACATTTTCTTTGAAGAGGTTACAACACTTTTCCTAGCTTGGCCAAAAGGTTAGTCAAATGCATGGTGAAAAGCTGCCTTTGATTATTATGAGAGAGTGACATCACAATGTAACACACGCGCCTCTATTGGCTAGTCGCTAGTGGTTGAACACATTGTACCTGATAGGCTAAGAGGACATCGCTAACCAATAACAACAGAGCCGGGCCAACTAACCAATCAGAGCAGACTGGGCTCTGGTTTCAGACAGAGGGTCAAAAAAGAGGTGCTGCAGCACAGGCAGTATGAGGAAAATGAAGAGCTTTTTGAACATTAAACCATGTGAACATGTAACAGTAGAGGAACAAAATAAAAATGTAACGCTAAAATTGCGCATAATATGTCCTCTTTAAAGGAGTCAAAAACACTTCAGGCTGGCTCATAAGCGAGTCAATCCTCACAGGCCCCCATGTCAAAATTTAGAGCAGAAATTAACCCTTCATGACAACTGTAATGAATTTTACATAACTCAAAAATTAAAATGATATAAAAGCGTAGGTTATTCCTTAGTATGGGCATAGACACTTTGAGTGGCAGCTGGATAGTGGTTGATTTATGGAAGGCTCTTTTTTTGACATACTGTACAAATACATTTTTAATTACTTTTTTAAATGACGTGCTTTATTAAGCTTTTTTTGCACATTTTATACATTCTTTGGTTCAAACCCTGCATACTTTCTTATCTCTGCACACCTGGGCATTCGCTTAAAGTTACATCAATTGTCGGACACATTCCCGCTTTAAATTACGTTGTTGGGGGGGTTGTGGTTTCTTGCGTGATGATGTTATCAGAGTTATTTATCATCTGTTATCTCAGGATTAGGCCTGAGACTTTTGGGGCTTTGAACAGAGAGCCTGCACTACAAACTGGGGGTTTTGGGTTTATGAGAAGAGGGCATACAGGGGGCAGGCCGAGTCTAACAGACGAGGTTATGGAGTTGCATTATGGGAAAAGAAGGACACAGTGTTTTTAAAGCTTGACCCTTAGTAGCAGCTAGAATTTAGGAAATTCTGACCCCAGCTGTTTCAAATGTGGCTGTTTTTCTTCTATGTTTTTTACAAATATGTCTTGTTCCTGCAATTGAATGAAAATGCACCAATAGTACATCTTCAACAATACATATTACTTTCTGTGCGTTTACTGCTAGACCCGCAGAAACTATTTCAGATTATCTCTTATCCCGTTTCTCCCTCCCTGCCCCCCTTGCTTGGAAAAAACAGATGTACCTGTCCCACTAGTTATCCCCCACCCACCACACACACACACCACACACTCCACACTTGAATGCACAGAGGAATGCGAGGGGAATGACACAATCCGCTAAAACCTGGCCAGCCTGGTCCGCTCTCCGCTCAACAGCAGACCTAATGAATGGCCATTCAGATACACAGACAAAGCTTAGGGTAGATTTCTACTATACAGTGAGGTCAAAGGTCACGCAAAGCACTGACAGAAGTAGAAACCAGAGATGAATGCCTGTCTCTCGCTTTCTAACACTGAATCACACCGACACAGAGATACAAACAACCCGAAACACAGTTTTTAGTGGATGCTTACAAGGAAAGTTACTCATTGTTATTTATCTCCGCTACATGGAAGCTCCACATGCACAGGTCGGTACTTTGAGGGCCACACGAGAGCCGTAGAACTAGAGGCATGAGTCAGTAACACAGAGATAATCAAAGTACATTAATCAATGGACCTAAAGAGTTCTTGAAGCCCTGGCAGCTTCGCCTGGTTAGCTTTGGAGATGGGCGGAGAAAGAAAGTGTGAGCGTAAGAGTTTAAGCTTATGCAGCGCTCTAAGCTGCTCCCAGCCCGAGGCGAAGGAGAAGAAAAAAAAGAACATCTCTTCATGATTAAAAGGGCTGAGGACCAGGAAGGGAAACATAGGAGAGGACAAGCTCCCAGCCCTGGAGGGGTGAAGTCTCTCCAGAGGAACAGAAGGCAAGAGCAAAGCAGCGAAATGTAGACTCAACGCTCGCTCACGCAGTCTCCTGTTTCCATCTCATTATTAAAAACACGGGGCGACGGGATAGATGAGGCATTTTTGCAACAAGAGCCACAAAGGAGATGGAAAACATTCCCCCATTACACACGCACATTTCTGCTGTGATCTTACATAGATCAGAAGAGGCATTATCTAACCAAAGATGAAAAACAAAAGAACTATTTGTTTGCTTCACATCTGTGAGCAAAGAAAGCATAGTCAATAAGAGAATAAAAGGTTCAAACTAATCCGGAAAATTCAGCGTGTCGGCAAAGGTGGAGCGGCTTTGCTTTGATATGAGACACAAGTCATCAGGTGAATGATAAGGATGTTCACTTTCCGATCAGATAGGAACTTCCTTTGACGTCCATCAGATGACGTCCACATGTTTTAATACAGATGTCACGCTCCAGTCGACGGGAGAATTACTGATGTATATCTGCAGAGGCCGAGTTAATAATCAGAGGAATGAGGCTGGATGGTAAACACTGGTGTGTATCTTTATTATGAATACTGAATACAGATTAGCCTACACACAGGACAGTAATCAAAACATACTTTTATCTATTCATTATTACAAAGTTGGTTTTATTGAGATCTTCAATATGAAGATCACATTTCCCATAATCCTAAAAGGATTCTCTCAAACTCTTGCGTGACAATACCAGTTTTTTTATTAAGGCTCACATTGGACATTTTGAAGTGATAACACAAACAGTGTTACTCAGCATGTGGCTTTTACACATCTTTTGGTGTGTATTTAGCAGACTTCAATTTATGTGAAACATCAGATTTGAATGGATTTTAAAATGTGTGTATATTGCACATTAAACCTCCCGAAACCCAGATAATTATGATAGAAATAGAAAGTCCAATGAAGAAGGAAACCCAAATTGCCCACACTTAAAATTACCAAATCATGAAGAAGAAATTATATGTTATAAAAGTGCTCTATGGCACCAAGGTTAAATCACTTAGAAAAGCAATCATGGCATTTTGTATAACACTGTTAAACCTAATTTTCCTGATTTAGTGCAGAAAAGGATGCCAGACCTTAACGTCAAAAGACTGGTATTATCCACGGAGAGATGCAAAGTCTGAGCAATACTTTGACATTTTGAACTCCTGTCTGTTATTCCTCTTCAACAAACACTTGTAATATTGTGTCGGATAATCAAAAAGCAGCGCATTAGCATTCCACCTTGAAACCAACGGAAACGACTGGCTGCAAGATGGCATGTTAGCTTTGTAATAATAAATGCTTCACAATGTTTGCTGAACCACACAACCAGCATCTAATGAAAGAAAATAATACACTTAACATGTGGGGGTGTGCTAACCAAACAGCAGTGGTGTTAGCATTCCCCTCTGAAACCAATGGATACCGCAAGCTGCAAGCTAGCACGTTAGCTTAGCTGGTAGATGTGCTTTTCTTTTGTGCTATATTTTAGGAAACATATTTGTGTAGCTTTGAGGCAAAATTCAGGAACATTTGCAAAATACTGAACTTCAAAATGTCAAAGTAACCCTTTGAGGTGCATTTTAATGAGACAAGAATCACCCATGAGAGACTTCTGCTTTATAAAAATTGGCATTTAAGTCCACAAAGACGACTGAATGGCACCAGTAGATGGAGAATACAGGGGAAGAGAATTAAAGATGCACCATTTATATCAAGAAAAACTTGTTTAAACCAGACAGCTTCCATGGTAAATGTCTACAAAGAAAACCAGCTCTTCAGTGTTCTCTGGTCTCTGAGTGCACACTTGTTCAGTCTGACTACAATAAAACTGAGCTGCCCGCAGAAACACAGGCAGTAGATATAACCAACCGCACTCCAAGAGAAATACATGGAGTTACAGATTCACTCTGAAACGACAAAAGTGCTGATGTCTCTCTGCCCCGTGAAGAAGAAGACGTCTGATTAGGACGAGTACAGCGCTCTCCAAAGTTTGAATTACACATCACACCTGAGTAAAGAGGAGGTAATGTTGAAGTCAAAGGGCAACAGAGAAGTACAATCCAACAGTTAAAATGTTCTTGATGTGAAAAATGTCTATGTTGTAACGTAATCCAGATGGATTAAATGGCACCCAGGGTGAAAGCAGTTCTCATTCATGATTACACAACGATATGGGCTTTTTTTTTTTGGCTCCTTTGGTGAAGTGATTTTTTTCTCAGGACAACAAACCAGTCAACTGACATGATACTACAGAAACTGTGAATTCTGATCATATTCTCCTCTTGGTGTAACACGTTTAAAAATGTCAGTCAGGTCTGCACGACGTTGACTGTCCAAACGTCACTGTGTCCGACTCTCTCATCGTGATCGCAAAGTCATTTTTAGTGTTTTTTTTTTCCGTCTTTTTTTCCCTGGTCATTATAAAATTCTGCCAGTTTCCCTTGGAGTCCGTGTTCAGAGATGGAGCAGAGTGCTCTCGGTACATGACTGCACCGGTGGGTTGGAGTCCAGGCTAGACAACAGGTGAGCTAAAAGGTCACGGTTGCAGTACTCTTGTTCCGAAAGGTCAGTGTCTGGATGCTGGAGAGGATTTTCCTCTGGTGTCCGGCCAAAGTCACTCCCATGTGCAGCAGGTCCCTGAAAAACACAAATTAGACGATCAGAAATAAAATTCAAAAGCTATTTAATGGAATTTTTGATTACATTTAAGTCATACTTGTGCGCTCTGAGCTTCCATAATCTTAAATTATTATTTTTTAAATATAATTTACTAAGAAATACAGAGATATAACATCATTTGAGCTGTCGATGTCGAGACGATTAGGCGACCAATCAATTAGTTGTTAGACAGAAAAATTATCTCCAACTATTTTACTGAGCGATTCATCGTTTAAGTCATTTTTCATTCAAAAATATCTCCCAAATTGGTTGTTTCCTTATTTCACTGTTTTAATATGACATTAAACCAAATATCTTTGGGTTTTGGACGGAAAGAATATGACATTTAAAGACATCATCTTTGACTGCTGCGACAATGAAAGTAATAGCTATTTGCCATTTAAAAAAAAAGTTTTCGAGAGGTAATTAAGTTTGTTTAGGAACTACCAACACTAAAGGCTAAGGGGCTAACATCCCAACCTAGTGCCATGAGAGTTTGCAATGAAATGTGAAAATGTTCCTCTAGAGATAAGCATCAGTTCGGAAAAGGAGACAGGAGACAGTACTGACTCTGTGCTGATCTGGGCCAACTGGTCCACCGAGTTGAAGCCGGCCTGCAGGAAGCTGTCTTCGTAGCGCTCCATCTTGATGGCCCTCAGCCATTCCCCCACAGAGGCGCAGGCTGAGAGGGATAAAGGTGCTCGCTGGTCCAGCAGGGGGTAAGACAGCCTGCGGGACAGAGGGGAGAATCAATGAAATAATTTACACACACCGTCACCAAAACAGCCGTGAGGAGCTTATATATATCCTGCAGCAACATTCCAGGCGACAGGCAAAGGTATAATCTTAGGCTGAGTGACTGACGGGGACAAACAATGGGATTTGTCAGGGGTGGAGTGTCCTCGTCTGTATGCAACCAGCTGACAGGCAGAAAGTGGAGGAAGGGAAATGGACACAGCAAGAGGCTGACAGGTCCCAGCAGGACATGAAGGTGGTACATAAGACCGGGCAGCAGGGGGGTAATCTCTGTCCTGGGAATGTTAAATGCCTTAACTACAGAAAGGGACATCATGAAATTACTGACATGCTTCCTTTTCTTAAGCTGTTGATTTGCTGTCATTCTAACCCCATCAGGCAGGTTTTCTGTCAATCAACCAAACACAGCGTCACTCACCCTGCTCCCTCTTGAGCCACTATTTTCAGCGAGGCCGGGTTTCGGATCAGTTTGTCCAGAGCGCTGACGAGGTCTGCGAAGCGAGGGCGCGCCGAGCGGTCCTTCTGCCAGCAGTCCAGCATCAGCTGGTGCAGGTGGGTCGGGCAGTCAGGGGGGGGGGGCAGCCGGTAGTCCTGCTCTATGGCATTGATAACCTGATTGGTGGAAAAGGTAACACTATTAAACCAATGCAAAAAGGGTATTTCAATAAGGCTTGATATGCATTGAGGGAACAGACAGGAAGAAATAAGAAACAATAAGAAGGAAAAAGATAGGAAATCCATTGTACGAGTTTTTCTTGGTAATCTCATAGTTACGCTATGATTCAAACACTTATATATATCCTTAATTTAACCAGGTAAAAGTCTCATTGAGATTCAAATCTCTTTTTCAAGAGCGACCTGGCCAAGAGGTTACAACAAATGGCACATTAACCAGTCAATATGCAAATAAAAGAAACTATTATAAACATTAAAAACTGGCACAATTTTAAAACGACTTCAATCATGGGATATAAGAGCAATCACATTGACCAATGGTTTCTTGTTCTCTGTCCTTTAAGATGGACTTGAATTCCCCCATAGTGATCAAATCTGACAGTTTCAGCTCCTTCTGTACATTAATTCCAAACACTTCAAATTATTTATTTTCATGTTGCAAAATTCTCAGCTTGAAAACCTTGAAATTCCTAGTGAATGTTGCACATCATGGCTGTTTACTCACATCCTGGTTGCTCATGTCCCAGTACGGCCTCTCTCCAAAAGACATGACCTCCCACATGACGATGCCATAGCTCCACACATCTGAGGCTGAGGTAAACTTTCTGAAGGCGATGGCCTCGGGTGCTGTCCAGCGGATGGGGATCTTACCTCCCTGCACAGAAAAGAAAAACAGTCAGCACTGCAGAAGTTCCAATAAACACGAGCAGACAGGGCTCTCCCAAGCGAAGGGAAGAGTGAAATAATAACTTCAAGTTAATGAGGCAAAATAATGAACTTTCACAGCTGTGATATAATATTTCAACAAATATACAGTGTGTGAGCAAATTACATTTTTTTAACTCTAACGCAGCGTCCACGCGGCAGCGTCCGTTGAAGCTTGCCGTCGGGCGTGTCTGAAGCTCGACCAACAACCAATCACATGAATATCCCGCCCCGGACACACAAGCACGCGGTTTGATTGGCTAGAGCTTGTACTGGCATATGATTTGATTGGCTGACGCTTCCGTCGAAGCTTGAAGAGTTTAACTTTTCTCACTTTTGAAGCGAGCAACGGAGGCAAAGCGAAGCGACGGAACCACAATGCAGTTCGGCAAAGCGTGACCTCACCCCATTCAAAGTGAATGGGAAGCTGCGTTGAAGCTTCAACGCACGCAGCCGTGTGGACGGGCCGTTAGTCTTGAGATTTTTAAGGGGCTGGGTTTAAAGAGACAGGCGCTTAAACAGAGCATTTCAGACAGAGGATAATATGTGACCTGCTCTATCGAAATCAGTCGTATTGATTGACCCGAAGACACATTTTGAGTTGTATACACTGTTGGAAAGAGGAGATTCCTAGCTTTCTAATGATATCAGGATTGTTGTTGTACTCCAAATATTAAGCAAAATATGTCGCATTATATAATGACTGTCAGCGAGTCATCATTTTGAGAAAAAGGCCTTCAAAGTTTCCTCTTCTCTGGAATCCATCGATCTGATTAATTATTAGCAAAAGATCAAAATAGTCCGGAGGGAAAATATTTTCGTTTGGATTACTGGTCTGGAGGAAGCTCGTGAGTGTGTGTGTGTGTGTGTGTGTGTGTGTGTGTGTGTGTGTGTGTATTTTTGCGTTTGTGTGTATTGTGTTTGTTTCCCGGGGAAAACACTCAGGAGAAACACCGGCTGNTCTGTGAGTTGGATGTAGAAGTGTCAGAGTCAATATAGATGTTTCTGTGTCAGACTAAATTCAGATGGAACGTAGTAAAAAAAGGTAGATTCTTACGTCGGACGTAAGAATCTACCTTTTTTTACTACGTTCCATCTGAATTTAGTCTGACACAGAAACATCTATATTGACTCTGACACTTCTACATCCAACTCACAGATCTAACCTTGCTTTGATAGAATATATTATTCATATAACTCTTTTAGAAGTTAAGTTATAGTCATTTGTTTTGGGCATAGCATTTTCGACCTGAAAAACAGGCTCAGGGCTTAACAGGTTAAACATTTTGAGAATAGTTTGATTTTTCCCTTCAGATTTTGAAATGACATAATAATAGATAGTTGAAGTAATGTAATTATGTTATCATGCCATAGTCTTTTGATTTAATATGTAATGAAGTAAACGTAAAGTAATCCTAAAATTGAGGACACTGTAATTTTGCCAGATTCCAGATTGATCAAAATCACAACTGTGAGTTGTATACCTTAGCTGGATCTCTTATGATCCTGAGTTTAAAATGCTTTTGACTAGTGATTGGCTTGAAGTAACTTTAAACTGCAAGCTGGTTTTGATTTTATAGTTTGATAAGTTAGACCCTTCCAGAAAAACGCGGGCAAAA